ACGCAATGGCAATAAGATTATGACAATATGATGACAATGAAAAGTTGGTTTCCATAACAATGTATAATTCGTACTTTCCGAACCGTATAAAATTGTGATTATTTTTGAAATACGTGCAACTTTTAATGCGCATGCGCAAAGTAAGGTCCTCGATAAGGACAAGCCTATTGAACGTTTCATATGTGCAATAAAGAGGGTTTGAAAATGGCATGTCGTGATGTTGAAGACATATTTTTTAATGCTATACTTATGGCGTTGATTTATCCACGTAAGTATATATATGATCTAGGGTCCTAACTCGTGCCCTATGTGAACTAGGCGGCTGAAACTCAGAATGTATGTACATGAAACTTGAAGAGCCCCATCATTTCAAGATATTTTGACGACGTTTCGTGCACTACAAAACCCCATCATCAATAAATCAAATAAAAAAATCGTCCGATTTAAATGAAATTTGGTATGTCGATAGATTGGACCAAGACCAACTTGACCCTGTACAACACGTGTCACTATGACAGTTAGTTTTGTCGTAAGAGACGTCAAAAGTTGATGTCCTCCGATCGCGACCAAATTTGGTGTGTAGGCTACGTGAGCGACGGTGCACACGGTGCACACGGTCCCACCCTGCAAAGTTGGATACGACGTTTCGTTTACATCATCATCAGGATGGGACTAACGATTTGATATTGAAGAAAAATGTGGGTCGATTTCGGCATAATTGGGGACGGGCTACAGGATGACGCCCTCGACGTCTCGAACCGATGCCTTTAAATGTATGAAATCATCAGGATTTTTCTCTTAATTATGGGTCGATTGGAACCAAACTCGGCACGTGGATAGAGGAACCCGAATGGGGTCCTCAGACAGACAGACAAATGAAGGTAAGAAGTTTCACTTCAAATATGCGTACATAGTGCACACACAATTTTGTTTTCGATCATATTGTAGGTAGGTATATTTTATATTTAATTTAAAAAACAACAACCATCGTCCAAACTAGATTCGCTATTAGTAAAAACATTAGATATTTATTATTGTTCAATAACAATTTAAACAAAGATCATGACAGAGATTTTATAATTAAGTATTAACCTTGAATCAGTAAGCACATAAAAAACTATTACACTTAATAATATAGCGTAAAATGTATAATTCTATTATGTATTTGTCCAAATAAAAACAAGTATTTTTTATCACCTAAAATTAACGTACTTCATTTATCATGAGTACGACAAGTAATAAGTTCATAGTTAATTGAGTTTAAATCAAAAACCAAGGACTTTACTTTTCAAGTATTATAATAAATAAATTGGTTCAGCTGTATTATAAAGTATCAGTAAAGCAAAAGCCTATGATCACCAAAAAAATACATTTAATTGAAATATTAATAATTTCAATTATTATTACTAAGATATTTTTTATGCTAAACCCATCTGACTATTAAAAACTAAGCTTCTTGTGCGTAATCTGTTCAACTATAGCTACATAAATAGTTTAGTAATACGAATGAGATAGTACATGTTTGGTACATGTTCTTTACTCTGGGTGTCAGCCCGTCTAGGTATAGAAAGTTAAAAAAAAATGAAAGTTAAAAAGAAAAATAAAGATAAAGGATTATATTATATTCCTATTGTAGCATATTTTTAGACAACTTCTTTATTTTTAAGATTTTGAATGTCAAATATCAACAAAATATTCCTTATGTTTGGACTAAACTTTCTCGAAAATAAAAACATAATTTAATATTCCGTTACAATACGGAAATAGATTGAAGTTTTGTGATTACAGTGATAATATAATTTATATGGTTTTGTAACAAATTGCTCGCTATTTTATAGCAAATGCTGAAGCTCTGCAAACCTTAATCAAGCCTTAATCAAAGCACTTTTGTATGGAATTTTGGGTGTGGCTTAACACGAATGGATCGGGCTAAGCCTTCGGCAGATTTCTGAATGACCGACTTGTCGGAAGTCTGCCTCTGTTTCTGAGAGCATCCTGTCTTGGCCGCCATTCTAGTATTAGCTTGGTCCATCTATCGTCCGTTCTTCTGGCAATATGCCCAGCCCAGTTCCATTTGAGTTTTTAAGCAGATATATAGCATCTGTTATTCGTGTAGGCTGTTTTATAACTGTATTGAGTATCTTGTCTCTTAAGCCGCGTCCAAGCTACTCGAACAAAACGTTCGCGAACATATATAATTCACACTATATACTCGTAGCAGCAGGTCGTAAACGACGGCACAGCCCATCGCATCGGTCCCGAGGACTGAGGTGCGGGGAAGGATGCGACAACCAGTTTGCTCTATAGATCTAGGATGCGTTTAGGTAGTCGCTGTTTTTTCGAGTGCCCGGATTTCGAGTGCAAGCATTTTATTAAATAAATTAACCGGTAAACAGTTTAAGAACTTTTGTCGTTGAAGAATCAATATTTAGCAGGCGGAGGGTCATAAGGGTCTTTTGGTAGATTATTCGTTATAGTGTATTTTTAAGACCTGTATTCATTTTCAGCCGATTCTACCAGGTGTTTCTCAAAAGGGGCTCACTTTTTTACTTTTTTATTTTTTCAGATAATACAACGAAATTTGGTTTGTTAGTATATGACATAAATCGGGATTGATTGACGTATTCAATTCCCTTCGGTCGGTTCCTGTTTCACCGGAAATTACTACAACTTTGTATTTTTAGATTGTATCCTAAGTACTTTTTTACCTTATTTGATAGAAAATGACATTCTGAATAGAATAACATATTATACGTCAATTTTAGACAATTCCAATTAAATAAAAATAGCATTTTAAATTTCAATCTAGAGTGCCAAAACTGAGTTAAAACTATTAATTTGTAATCAAAGAACTTTGGAAACATATATTTGATCGTGTAATTTTTTTCGTATCCTTTCATGGCCGCTTAAAAGATGCCCAAATCGTATTTTTAATGATAACTCAAATTTTTCAAATGGTACGAGGCTGGCTCAGCATATTTGGAAAAAGCATTATTTACGAATAATTTGGTTTGGTTTTTTTACATACTTGGTATTTGGAGTAAAATTGTAGTTACGTTTATTTATGGCCATTTTTAAATTGAAAATGTCAAAAGTTGACATATAATATATCATTCTATTTAGAATGTCATTTTCTATCATATGCGGTAAAAAAATACCGAGGGTACCATTTAAATCAAAAGTTGTTGTCATTTCCGGTGAAATAGGTAGTGACCGAGAATAAATGAAAACGCCGATCCATCCTGATTTATGTCCTATACTAACATACCAAATCTCGTTTTTTATCTAAAAAATTAAAAAAGTTATAGAAGTGAACCACTTTTCAGAAACACCCGGTATATTTATTTCTAAAAATGTAATGGTAAAATTTCATTTCCGGTGTCAAACTTCCTATTAAGTAGTAATTTTTAATTTCAAAATCCCATAATAATTCCGGTTTTTAATAAAAATAATCATAAAGGTCTTTATTAACAAAAATGAAATTATATGGACGAAGTCTAGCTACATAACTATTCACACTCAACCCACAATAAAATTAAAATTATAAAATCTTTTCTTTGTGTAAACAAATTAGTTGTAAATGTTTTTCACGATCCCAGTCAATAACTGCGTTAGACCAATTCCAATTAAATAAAAAATACTATATTATATGTACCTATTATTATATGCCATTGTCGAATACTCGGTAAAAAATAAAAATCACAGATGGACGCCCGAAATTAAATGAGACCCTTCCAAGTGTCCGGTACAATGTCCTCCGAAATGCACGCCGTTCGCTCCTTTAGATTTACCGACACCTGTCGGAAAAAGAACGCGCGCGCTCTAGCATAGGCAGACGCACGCTCTGGTGTACAAGCTAGCCGTTCGGCGCTCCGCGCTCCTTAATAGGCCTAGGCTCTGGGCCTAGGCTAGCTGTACTTGTCGGCTTTATTATTTATAAATCTACCTATCTCACCATTTTCACTTAGTATCTGTTTAATTATATATGTTCGCGAACATTTTGTTCGAGTAGTTTGGACGCGGCTTTAGAGATACACCAAGCATTGCTCTTTCCATAGCTCGTTGGGCTACACGGATTTTTTCTATGGACTTTTTCGTCAGTGTAAGTGTCTTTGCGCCATATGTAAGTACTGGCATAACGCATTGATGGAACACCTTCCTCTTTAAGCACATTGGTAGATATGATTCTGATTAAGATATTATGCACTTGCTTAAATATATTGTTTCTTTACTGATAATTTAGTTTTATTACTAATAATCTTCAATAAAACTATATTACTAGTGGAAAACAGTCAGCCCTATATATGAACAAATATTCCGTTCGCATTTCGTAAATATAATAAAATAGCAATACACAATTCCACCTTCAAGGCTAATGGCTAATTCAAATCCTAAAATATTTATCCTATTCCGTTTATATGTATACATACATAGAAGCAGAAAATATTTAAACATAAACTAAATCTACTGATTAATATTATTATTCTGTAAAAATGTATTTACCTAATCTTGCGGAAACAGCGTCAAGGCTTTACTGCTGTAATATTCAAGTATCAATGTCAAGTGTAGTATTAACATAATTTTCGAATATTTTTTTCACGGAAAATATTGTATACCAAGCTTCGAGCGTTTAAATGAAAATGTATTGTTCTCCATAAAGAGAAAGTTATTAACTATAACTATCATTATTATTTTTTTCACAAATTATTATTTTTTTCACTCTGGCCACCGTGAAAAACTGTGACGTATTTTGACACACTGCCTCATAGGGTTACAAGGGGTAACGAACAGCGTCAAAGATGCGAGTGATGCGTCGCATCCCTTCAAAATATTGTAATGCGTTTTTTTTTTAAAAAGTCACCGAGATCACCTATGGTAAAAACTATTGAAGAAGGACCTCCAAAGCATATTTTGAATATTAATACTAAATTAAAACCGTGTACCTATTAATTAGGAAACTTGGGGAAATAGTAAATATCTGAAATAAAAAAAAAACTTACTTTCTGGGATATCGGCTAATTTCATCTTCTCCAATGAAGGCCAAGCTCTGTCATTATAGACTAAAACTGCTACCGCTTTACTTTTGAAGGCATTTTCAACTTTTTTTTCAAAATTGCAGTGGCCTCTTTTCATTAGCGCTATCCACTTTGTCCCTAAAAATTAAAATAGAAAACTATGCATAATTTTGCTATTTTCGTTAACAACCTTTTTTTAATAAACAAGTGGCAACCTGGCACTTTTCTGTTTACTAAATTTTGGCTAGCATCATTTTATACAAGTTGTGTATTTATGAGACAGTAACCAACAAAAAATCGCTCTCACCTGCAGAGGGGAGTTTTCTATCTGATCTTGAACTGTCAAAAGGATATAAACATCCCGTATGATCGTCGGGGTTGAGTTTTGACGTCACATGAATAAGAAGTCCGTAAGCTGGACCTAAAACAATAGAAAAATATATTAATCAACACAATTACTTCCTGACGAGAATTTATAGGTAGTTCAAAAGCAATATCTAATAATTGTTAAACACAAATCATTATTCTACCTTGAAAATTATCTGTTAAAATAATCAAAAACTTTGGATAATACTAAATTTCAACATTTTTTTTCGCAAAAAACCTCATGGGCGTGTTTCTGGGGTCGAACTATACTACCAGTCAAAATTCTTGCACTTATTTCTGAGATTATTCCCTTTTGGGTACTTAAAAAGAAGAAATTATTATTCTTATAGCTCAATATTATGAACAACGGCGGTTTTGATTAATTCAAACTCAATATTACTCAAATAAACTGGAAATATCTGACACCTATTAAGGTCTACAGATTCGACTTAAATAGTAGTTTTGTTTTATTCTTGTCAGTTTATGATAAAAAGCTACGTTCGCCTTTAATTAAATTATACAGGGTATAAAAGTATAAATGCAAAAAATATCTAATTCTGCAAAATGGTATATCAAAAAATATAATAAACACCATTTATATGAATAAATTTAGAGAATTTCTTCATTTATAAACCATTTAAGTCATTTAAGAGTCCTACATGCATATAAAGCTAACTATCGATTAGATCACCATATCCAATTTTGTCAACATTTAAACAGACCAGAGCTCTCGCAGACTTATGTAAAAATCTAAATTTTCAAAAAAATTCAATGTAGTTAGCTCTCGACAGTTAGTTTTGACGTAAGAAACGTCAAAAGTTGATGTCGTCCGATCGCGACCAAATTTGGTGGTTCAAAAAGTCACGGAAATGTATATTTTTTCACTCGGTAGTTTTATACAGGTACGGACAAAAAGTTATTACTCTTCAAAGCAGTTAAAACACATGTAGGTGGCGCCCCCTACAAATAGGAGTCATATTGACATCAAAATCAAATATCTCATGTCAAAAAACTCCCAGATACCGATTTTCATCCAAATATTGACGTTATTTCAGAAACTATTTGGAAAAAATCTAAATAAAAATGAAACTTCTACACCCTGTATCTCGGAAACTAAGCATTTTAGGATATACATTTATACAAACTTTTTTACTTATTTTTATCTGCAGAATGTGCTACCGAAGTTTCTGGAATACAGTTCGGACCACCCTGTATATTATGGTTTGCCTATCAATGCTTATATGAATAGAAAAAAATTGGCGCCGGGAGGCACGTATAGCCGCCCATACTAAAATATGTTAATAAAAAGTTGATAGGCAGTTCTTTTAGTTTCAAAGTAAAGGAATTTTTCCAATTTTTTTTATCTCAAAAACTGCGACTTTGACTGATTTTGATGTTATTACAAATTTTGTTGCAAATATTATTCCTAATCTTAATTGAAAACCGCGTTTCGCTAGCTACTGCAATTTTGGAGTTACGATTTTTAAAAATTTTTAAGCCCCTCCCATACCCCCCACCCCCACCAAAAACTAATGGCCAGATTCTCGGGCGCCGCAGTATTTTTGTGCCAAATTTGGTTAAACTCGGTTTAGCGGTTTCTGAGTTAATATGTTACAGACGGACAGACAGACAGACACCATAAAATATTTTGTATTTAGGTCATTTATGACCCAAATAACTCATTTTGAGTGAAATTAAAAAACTTTTTTTTTGTCGATCTGAATAGCCTACCATTCCTGTTGCTATGTTCGGCTAATAAATTATTTTCTTCTTTTTAGACTTACCGATGTACCCTGTACCATATAGTCCCACCTCCGCTTTGTCCCATTTCCATCCGCTGTTCGTTTTAAAGGTGACGTTCAGAAATGCGGTATTGTAGTAAGGATTGTCTTCAGATTCTTCAGTAGTTGCGACCGAAGCTATGGAATCCTCGGGAGTTGCATCGGTTGGTGCTTCTGTCAGAAGCTGAAGAAATACCGCTGCGACAAGTATCCGATGTTGTGCATGAAGAATCTGTCCTGTTGCAATTCGCTGAAGGTACATTATTTGAAAAAATGGTGGACCAGGAGAGATGACGCCCTATAACAATATACAAAAAATTATTAAGGCTCTCCCGGGTGCGTCTCAAAAGTGGCTCACCCCCTATATCTTTTTTATTTTTTCAGATAAAAAACGAGATTTGGTATGTTAGTATATGACATAAATTAGGATTGATTGACGGATTCAATTGTTTTCGTTCACTTCCTGTTTCACCGGAAATAACTACAACTTTTGATTTTTAAATAGCACCCTCGGTATATTTCTACTTTATTCGATAGAAAATGAACTTGTGTCTAGCCCTAGCAGGCAACTGTTAAGCCCGACCAATCACGTTAGAGTTTTTGACAAACACAAATGAATTAACACACTCCAAATAACCACGCTAACCAACCTGATTGGTTAAGCTTAATAGTTGACTGCTAGGACTAGACACTTCTGAAAATGACACTCTGAATAGAATGACGTATCATATATGTCAACTTTTGACATTTTGGCTTAAAACAAAATTGTATTTTAAATGTCAATCTAGAGTGCCAAGGTTGTGTCAAAAACAATAATTTTTAATCAAGGAGCCTTTTTTAATGTCTTGTCCTGGCCGGTTAAAAGACGCCAAAATCGTATTTTTTCTCATATTATCTCAATTTTTTCAAATGGAACGAGGGTGGCTCATTAGCATATTTGGAAAAGGCATTTTTTTACGAATAATTTGATACCACACACTTGGTATTTCGAGTCAAATTGTCGTTACGAACAGCATATTGCATTTTCAAATAAACCATATTCGAAAGTGTCAGAAGTTGACATATGATATGTCATTCTATTCAGATGTATATGATGTGTCATTTTCTATCGAATAAGTAAAAATATGGAGGGTGCCATTTAAAAATCAAAAATTGTAGACATTTCCGGTGAAACAGGAAGTGGAATTCTAATTTATGCCATATACTAACATACCAAATCTCGTTCTGTAATCTGAAAAAATAAAAAGTTATAGGGGTGAGCCAGTTTTGAGACGCACCCAGTATACCATATTTAACCAGATAGCGCCAGGCATAGATAGCTTCAATAATTGAGTATTCCAAAGTATATAAAAATTCTTTGTTGGTCAATATCAAAATATGATAATAATGAAAAAACGCATATTATTAATATTGTGTACTTTAATAAAAAGAAAAAACTAAACGTTCATTTTGATTTACAGGGTCGTTTTATGTATGGAAACGGTCGATTATTACTGTTACGGATTCCGTGGGTCCACTATTTAAACTCACGATAAAATACTTAACGAATTTATTTGTTTCACTCTGTACACACAACTTATACTATTTACAACACAATTTATGCAACTAGTATTACTCTAACGGTATTTCGCGATATTATTCAAACTTCAGACTATCTTCAGACTTGTCCAACTGTCAAAGCGCGGGCCTTATATACCCCCTGGCGATGGTTTCTGGAATTTTCTAAAGAATTCTATAATTTTCTTTTACTTTCTGGCGAATGCGCCAGGTCCCTCAATGCACGTTGCGATTATTTAGCAGTATGCAGTTATGCAACCAGTAATACACCTTGACATTGCCCCCTTCTCAAATTTGATCGTCCCGATCAAGGTTTCCTGTCTGGTATCTCTTCAATCGATCCAGATGAACTACTTTCATCTTACTTCTAGGGCTGCGTTGAATCCGGTACACAACATCATTTATCCTCTTGATGACTGTATAAGGACCTTCCCATGCTGGAGTTAACTTTGGGGACCTCCCTTTCTTGCGCTGTGGGTTATATAACCATACCATATCGTCCTGTTGAAATCCCGTAGAATTAGCTCTGAGGTCGTAACGAGCTTTCATCCGGTCACTGGCTAGCGTAATCTTACTTCTCACGGCCTTATGAATTCCCAATAACCTTTCCTTCAGTTCATCCGCGTAGTCCTCTACGTTCGTGGTGCTGTCGTCTGGTGATCCGAACACCAAGTCACAAGGCAACCGTAATTCTCGACCAAATAAAATCTTCGATGGTGAAAGTCCGGTGGTGTTGTGAACTGCACTTCTATATGCCATTAGGAATAGTGGTATATGCTGATCCCAATCTCTTTGATGTTCATCCACCATTTTCGAGAGATGTTCTTCAATGGTCTTATTGAATCTCTCGACCATCCCATCAGACTGCGGATGTAAAGCTGTTGTCCTAGTCTTGTGAATACCAAGCAGATCACACATCTTCTGGAACAGTCTTGACTCGAAGTTCCTTCCTTGGTCAGTGTGAAGCTCTAAAGGAATTCCAAATCTACTGAAGACATTATTGACTAATACTTCAGCTACAGTCGATGCTTCTTGGTTTGGAATGGCAAAAACTTCTGGCCATTTACTGAAATAATCCATCGCCACTAAAACGTACTTGTTGCCCTTGTGCGTTTCAGGGAATGGGCCTGCAATGTCAACAGCGATTCTTTCGAATGGCAGTCCAACGTTATATTGTTTCATTTTTCCCCTAGATCGAGTGCTTGGTCCTTGGCTGGCTGCACAAATTTTACATTGTCGACACCATTTCTTGACATCTTCGCAATAATCCACCCAGTAAAAGCGATCTCTCAGCTTGCTCAAGGTCTTGTTTACCCCAAGATGGGCTCCAGTTTTACCACCGTGAATTTCTTCCAATACCTGGGTAACTTTCTTCCTTGGTACCAGTAACTGAGTTGTTACTGTGCTGCCATCCGCACTTTCCCATGTGCGCTTTAACAATCCATTCTCAATAACCAGTGAATTCCACTGAGCCCAGAGAGCTTTGAAAACGAGCCCTCTGTCCGCAATATCCTGCCACGGTGGTCTCTCGCCGTTACCTTCCTTGAGCCGTAGTATTGCTCCGATGTCTGGATCTTCCATTTGATCTTTCCTCAATTGTGTCGTCGTCCACTGTTCATCGGTTCCAAGTTTAAACTCCTTATCATGACAGTGCCTTCACGTTGTTCCGTTTTACAGCAGTGCTTACAATCGGTTTGACAGGGTCTTCTGGATAAACCGTCTGCGTTACCATGCATTTTTCCAGCACGATGTTGGATGGTAAAGTGATACTGTTGGAGCTTCTCGAGCCATCGTGCTATTTGACCTTCAGGTTGTTTCATCTCCATAAGCCACTTGAGAGCCGCATGATCTGTCCTAATTAAAAATTCTTGGCCGTACAGATATTTATGAAAATGATCAACTGCCTTCACAATTGCTAGCAGCTCCTTCCGGGTAACGCAGTAATTCCTTTCTGGTTTGGATAGAACTCGACTGTAATATTCTATCACTCGTTCTTCGCCATCTTGCACTTGTGATAGCACTGCACCTATGCCGATATTGCTGGCGTCGGTATCCAGGATATACCTCCCTTGTTGTTGCGGGTAGGCTAGAATAGGACTTGAACATAAAGCCGCCTTAAGTCTTCCAAAGGCTACATCACAATCGGTGTTCCATTCGTAGCCGACTTCATCACCTGTAAGTCTATGTAAGGGTGCAGCTATATTGGCAAATCCCTTGACAAATCTTCTGTAATAGGTGCATAAACCCAGAAAACTTCTAAGTTCATGTTTGTCGCGAGGTTTAGGCCAATCCTTGATCGCAGCGATTTTCTTCTGGTCGGTGTAAATTCCGTCTGCCGAGACTACATGACCCAAGAATTCCACTTGTCGCTGGAATAAGCTACACTTCTTCGGGTTCAAGTACAGGTGAGCATTCCGTATGCGGCCAAAGACTTCTTCTAAATTTCGCAAATGCTCCTCAAAAGTTCTTCCCATAACCAATACATCGTCGAGGTAAACCAAGCACGTTTTCCAAGTTAATCCTCTTAACACCACCTCCATGAGACGTTCGAAAGTGGCTGGAGCATTGCATAATCCAAACGGCATGACCTTGAATTGGTATAGTCCGTTTCCTGTAGAAAAAGCCGTCTTTTCTTTGTCTTCCTCGTCCAGACCAACTTGCCAGTATCCACTCTTTAAGTCGAGAGTGGAGAACCAGCACGAACCTGCCAGTGTGGTTAACGTGTCGTCTATACGTGGCAGTGGGTAGCTGTCCTTCTTAGTGACGTCATTGAGCTTCCGATAGTCCACGCAGAATCGTGTACTACCATCTTTCTTCGTCACCAAAACAACAGGAGATGACCATGGACTCGATGATTCTTCGATAACTCCATCTTCTAGCATCTTATCTACCATTGTCTCCATTTCTTGTTGTTTGGAAAGGGGCACCCTTCTAGGACGTTGTCGAATCGGCTGAGCATGACCAGTATTAATCCGGTGCTTCACAAAATCCGTTCTTTCCACTGTTGTTCTTCTCAAAAATACTGCCATGCTTTAGCAGGAACTGCTTAGCCTTCTGTTTCTCCTCAGATGTTAGGTGATCCCATGGCTGCTCTAGATGTTTTAGTGTTTCTTTGGATGCCATTTGTGTAACAGCTGACGGCACTTTATCACATCGGGTGACACTTCATACAGGTTTGCAGATGGCTATCTTGTCACCTTTTTGAATCTTGATACAATTCGGGAAAACATTCGCAATTCTGATCGGTATATTCTTGTCAGTGTTCACCAATGACTTTCCTACTAAGTACCTATCTTGTTTGTTGTCGCTACTTTGTACCAGTCCAACACAGCACCCAGCGATTTTCTCCACTTTACCGAATACGATCTTCTCGGTATTACCAGGTATCACCACAGTTTCTGCTGATCTTACATCCATTCTTCCTGGTCCCTCGGCTGGAGATAACAGGAACTCTTCGTTTCCGATATTTAGGATATTTCTTTGGTGATCGAACGAAAATCCATGTTGACGAATCACATCCATGCCCAAGATGAAGTCATCTTCAATATCCGCCACTAAAACGCTATGCTGGAACTTCAAATTTCCTAACTTCAGTTCGACGATAGCCTCTCCTCGTACAACGGCTATTTCCCCCGTGACTGTACGTAAACACACTCTTCTTCTCAGAGGTATCAGCTTCAACCCTTGCACTAAGTTAGCCCGTACCAACGATACCATAGCGCCAGTGTCCACTGTCATTCG